AAAGAGATGAAGAGGGGACGACAGGACCAGAGGTCAGAGTTCGGGAACTAAAGGTTACTCTGCTTACCTCAAGCACTTGCTGGAGGCTCGGCTGCCCATCCACCATGCCTTGAATAATCCCAGTCAGCTGAAACGAGAGACAAACAGAAAGCAGGCGTCAGAGCAGCACTCAAAAGATCATTAGAGAGGTCTCCTCTCCTGTCCATCTCGCTGCAACCAAAACATCCTCCTGTGACCCACGTGGATGTTGCTGAGGAGCCATCCACAGCAGAGCAACCCTGGCAGCTCCACAGCCATGGGCAAGGGCACAGTTTCATCCCAAAGACAGAAATGAAGGGGGGCTCCCACCCACACCATGGAACAGCAAACTCTCAGCAGGGCAGGATCCACCTGGGGAGCAGTGGTGGCCTCTGCTTCATGTACCAGCGCGATGCCCAAATTCTGCCCTTTCTCAACATGTGTTTCACCAGTTTTGATGTTGCCCTGACTTAGAGAGGCAGCTGTAACTACGGGGGTTTCTGGCCATTGCCCTGCTACCGCGGTGACACCAAAATTGCACAGCGCTAGGTGGACAGAACGGACTACTATTGGTAGGTGAGACCCAGAGTGGACCCAGTCATCCTCCCCTGCGCCGGGCAGCCAGCACGCGTGCTTTCCCATAGACCATCACAGCATCCCTCTGCATTTCAAAACTGTATTTAAAACAACTGAATGAAATCTGAAGAAAACAACTTTCTTCCAGAACCCTGGTCTACTCTGTTTTTCAGGAGGTTCCTTAGGAACAGGTCCTGCCAACAGATAGTCCTAGTGACTGTACCCGGACTGCTCAGCTGTTTAATGCTAGACACACACATAAAAAGATGCAGTCTCATGGGCCTCTGCCTGTGTCTGCCCAGGATAGCTTGAGGCACATGGAAAATAGATAATTTTTCTGTCTGCCTTCCAACTGACAAAACTGTCTTTTAACATATTGAATATCGGAGGTCAGTAGCTTGCCATCAATGCACCCAAGTAATTAAAAAAATCATTATTAAAACAAGTGCACACTACAGGATTTCACTTCATATGGCACTTTCCTGAAGCTACACATCTCACACGTTTTCATAAAATAAAGGTCAAACACAGCCTAGGAGCATGCCCTGCTGCCTGCACATGCATTCAAGCCTCCAGAAGCCATAGCACCCACTCGAGAGGTGCCGACAGCCCCCACCACCACCCAGGAGTAACTTCCATGCAGACCAGCTCAACCTACTCGTAAAATATAAGCCCGCTCACAAACCACAGGGCTCTGCTTTCTTAAATGTGTGGCAACTGAAAGAAGCTCAATGGTTTCTACCTCTCCGTTTCTTTGATGGCTTGGCTTAGAGCACTGAACTCAGAGGAAGGAAAAAAAAAAAAAAAAAAAGAGATTAAACTCCAATTAAACTGTAATTACATTTAATGAATACCAAATACCTGACTCACTGAATAAGCTGTAAGTGGAAAAATTATTTTCTCATAGTGACTTCCATGGAATGGTAATATATACCTTTTAGGGAAAGTATTTTAATTTTAAGAATGCAGAGTTCCTCTAGGTGGGTTTCTTAAGTTCATCAAGCCGTTATGAGGTAGAATTTTAAGGAAGTGGAGGGACACAGACACTCTCTTATATTCCAGAAACTGTTTTTATATTAATCTGTATTTTAATTGGGTAACAGCTGCTACCTACAGGCTTCCCATACTCTGAGAGGCAAATAGATTTGAGAGATTAACGCATGGCTCTTTAGACCAGTTTTTAAAGCTCACTGGCTTGTTTGTTGCTTTTCTTGCTGCCTTTCCATGCATTCACCTGGCAGAGGTGGACAGTTGACCTACTGCAAAGTGCTGGCTCTGCCTCTCAGAGGGCAGCTCAAATCAAACCTCTGGAAGTGGCTGAAAGATGAGCTTTTGGGCAAGGATCATAGAATCTATAGAATAGTTTGGGTTGGAAAGGACCTTTAAAGGTCATCTAGTCCAACCACCCTGCAATGAGCAGGGACATCTTCAACTGGATCAGGTTGCTCAGAGCCTCATCCAACCTGACCTTGAATATTTCCAGGGATGGGGCATCTACAGTGTTTCACCATCATCGTAAAAAAAAATTCTTCCTTACATTTAGTCTGAATCTGCCCTCTTAGTTTAAAACCATTATCTCTTGTCCTGTCGCAACAAGCCCTACTAAAAAGTCTCTCCCCATCTTTCTTACAAGCCCCCTTTAAGTACTGAAAGGCTGCAATGAGGTCTCCTGGAGCCTTCCCTTCTCCAAGATGAACCACCCCAACTCTCTCAGCCTTTCCTCATAGAGGAGAGGTGTTCCATCCTCTGATCACTCTTCTGTCCCTCTTCTGGACCCACTCCAAGAGGCCCATGTCTTTCTTGTACTAAGGATGGCAGGCAACCTTTTGGTATCATGGCCAGCACTGACATAAATAGCTTCTACCGCACCTTCAGGACTGCATCTGTTCAGTGTTGTACCCCTGATGGCCATGGGAGGACAGAGTGAAATGGCCTCATCCAGACATTTCCTATCAGGAGGGAGGGAGGGAGGTATGGGAAGGCGGGCATAGAGGTCTCACGAAAGAGTTTCCACTCGATCTTCTTCAAGACTCCTTCCCTTCTTCCCTGCCAGGCCAAGCAAAGTACCAGCTTACCCATACAAGAACACATCGCCAAGCACACATGCACGCAAGATTCATCCTGCAGAAATCACACACACGAATACAAAGAGATACCTGCTCCATGGGTACATTTCAATACAGGTCAGGAAGTGTTCAGAAGGGACCAGATTTCTACTCTCTCACCCTTTTTGTTATCAGTTATGTCCATCTGTAACACCCAACCTAGTGCATTGGGTCTCTGCAGCATTATCTGGTCTTGCAGCTTTGATAAAGTATAAAAACATAAAACCACACAATTGTAAAGTTTCACTGGCGATCCCAAGAAGCACATGGTACTTGGGAACATAAACAAGCTATAAGGCATTTATCTTTTTGTACTTTTATTGTCTGTTCCTTCAGGAAAAAAAAATCAATAAAAATTAATCATAAAAAGAGAGCAAAGTACCATGAAAAAGCCTGTACAAGCACCTTCTGTGTAGAGGGAACCTTTCACTTAAGCTCCTGGTATGAACTTCCTTGGACATCAGACAAACCACTTGCATCTTCCAAAAGGGCATGATGAGCTTTATATACCTGACAGCAGCTTTTAACCACTAGCAAGCGCTTTCCACCTTCTCTGTCTAAACATCCAGCACATCCCTCACCATAACCAAGCCTCATGACCTGTTGTTTTACAGAAGCAGGTCAAAAGAAAAGGGACCAGATGAGGGCTACAGAGTGAGCCAGTACTGGAAGATGTGCTCCTGGTCATTAGTGTGGGGAGTCAGAGGAACCTCCTGTAGCCAGGGAAGAGCACAGACACACCAGAAGCTAAGCAAAGGGGTGCCTTGAGGGTGACCACGAGCTCTTTACCCTTGCAGACACCCTTCCCGTGCTGTGCTGACTTCTTCAAGAAGGAAGAGGGATGTGAGAGGTACTCCAGACCCAAGGCGTAATGTCCAGCAATCCCAGTAATCCTCACACACACAGCCTAAACCAAGCAGTCTCATTGCTTCCCAGCAAAGGCAGCCATCAGAGGGGAAAAGGGAAAGCAGCAGCACAGCAGCCAGGCTCCAGTATAATGTCAACACCACTGCTTTTCCTACAGAGTTTATCTGGGAAACCATCGTATTTCTGCTCCAAGACAGTTTGCTGATTACCTAAGCACTTGTCTCTGGTGTACAATCTGATAATCAGGCCTGGTCTTTCTTTGTAGACAAAGAGGCCAATAAATCTCACCCTTTGTAAGTAGAGGTGCCTAGACAAAGCCCTTTACTGGCATTTAGCAAAATGGGTATTTTTCAGAAAACATAAACCAGCTGAAAGTCAACGGCAAATGCTGGAGCTGTGCAGGCAGCAGCTCCGCAGGAGCTGGACACGCAGCACACCCCGTCTATGTCCCCGGAGTCTCAGGGGAGCTTACACCAGTGGCATGGGGCTGACCCCTGCACCTGCCTAGCAGGAGCCACCGACCCCACAGGTCTCTAGGCACCCGCTACAGCCTCTGCAAAAAAGCGGCTGCAAACACGAAAGGGTATTTTTGCAACTGTCTAGTAAGGTCCTCAGTATGACCAGCTCACCTCTGGCTCTTAGGGCAGGGTTTCAAAGTCAGGTCCAGGAACAAGCCCAGTAACCCCTCCAGCATGATCCCACTCCCTGGACCTCATGGCAGCCCCTGTAACAGGCAGAAGGACCACCAGGCCAGGAGGGACATGGGCCATGCTGTGCACCGAGCAGCACAAACACACCAAGGGGTTGCCCAGGAGCTGGTGGCTTCCAGGCTAGGATTAAAACCAGCTCCCTAACGTTTGCTGTTAATAACAGAGAACTTGCCAAACGTGGCATGTTGGACCATTTTGTGCCACCGATGCACACCAGTGGGGATTCTGGGATCTTTTTGCCTGCTGGGCTCAGCACTGCCCATTTTTATCCAACTCTGGACACAAGACACTAGACCGAAGTCAGCGGCAGAACGCTGCAGCTGGGACACCCATGCCCATCCTGGGGGCTCCCGCGAAAGCACGGCCAGCACACACACACGGCCTCACTTGCTGAAGGGCTCCATGCAGAAGACATGAACCTGCAGAGACACAACCAGCTATTCCAGGTTCCCAAGAGCAAAAGGCAGAGGAACCGGCACCGTGGTGACGGAGCATTAGATGGGCTGAATGTCTCTGTCACAAGCTTGGTATCCAGAGAACCTCTCAATGTCCTCAGGCTGCAGCAGGCTGGAGGCTCCGTTCAGCTCAAAAAGCCACACCAAGCAAGTCATGCAGACCCTCGTACAACAACAGAGCTGCAACCCTCAGCAGCAGGGGGAAAGACGCAACAGAGGAATTTCTAGAAAAAGGAATTTTGGTGGGAGTTAATAAGTGAGATGACTTCTCTCTAGAATTTAGGTGACATGCAAAAGGGACATTTTGGGCTCTATTCTAGAAGATGACGTTGCTCTCAGCAAAGATCAGGTGCAAGCTGTGAGATTTATCACGTTTGTACAAACATATGTCCAGCAAGTCTCATGGGGATAAGGACAGCCAAAGTAGTTGTCCAGCCTTCTAGTATTAAGGTTGCAAAATCGTTTCCATTATAGCGCTCTGTTTTCACACATTTATAGCTTTCTGAAAGCCCCTCTCCTGGGAATAATGCTTTCTGTGCTTAGTCTTTTTTTTTTTTTTTTTTTTTTTAACGTTTAAATAAAATACCTTCAGCTGGTTTTTAGTTACAAGAGAATAAAAAAAAAGAAAAGTATTTGTTTTTACAATGTGGAAATATGGAAGGGGCTGGTTGGTCCTGGAGGGAACTACACCTAACATAGAGGAGTCATTTTTCATCACGTTAGTACACACGGGACAAGCACTTCAAGGACCTAGACCTGCAGCCATGGAGGTCAGGGAAAATGCACCATGGTGTTGATGAGCCCGGATGAGCCAGGACAAAACGAAGAACTTGGATACCCTGATTCCCATAGGCAGTACTTCAGTCACTGAGCTGGCCAATATCGAAACAGTAGAGTAACAGGAAAAAAGCCCAAAGCAAAAGGAGCTTAGAAACTTAGTTTTAATGGCTACAGCAGGGAGGAAGAATGCACTTGCAGAAACAGTTAACTTTGTGTCAAATGAAGAAAATGTAATAACAAAAAAAAGCCCAAACCAAAAACCAACCTCTGCCCGCCTATTCCTTTGAACCATCAGGGATCGCATTTACCACCTTCATCCTCTCACATCTGTATCCGAGGAAAGGTGGCCGCAGCTCGAGAGCAGCTGTCCTCAGCAATGAGAGTAACCAAGTGACAAGAGGCCACTTCTCCAGCAATCATTTCAAGTGCCCCACAAGCACAACATCAAAAAGAAATTCTTAAAAATACAGACATGGGTTACCCTACCACTCTGAAGGACTCATCAAATCCCAACAGGCAGGCCCACAGGAGAGTCATTTAGAGCCTCTGAACCATGCAGCAGTACGACACTTTCTTCCCTCGGACCATGCTCTCCTCTGACCTTCCCCACCACAGAGCAGCACGGCAAAAATCACGAAGAGCTCATAGAGAAGCTACAGGATTTTGAACATCAGCTAACAGGAGTGCTTTTACTTTGTGGTCACCCAGGAAGGCATTCATTACTTGTAAATACAACTGATCTTAGTTAGCAGATGATAGCTAGAGTTATTTATGAATCCAAACTGAAGTCTTTACACGCTACTGCAACGACAAAAAATTATTCCCCTTGTCCTTAACTCGAGGCTGGCATAACATGCTGCCGTGCAGCCGCACCGTGAAGAGGCGACCCCAACCCCTGGTGCAATGGAAACCTGCTTCCCAGGGAGACTCTTGGAGCACCAGGGAACCTTTGCACTTTACCTCTGTACAGAAGGGCGTAAGCTGGGGATGCACCACAGGCTGAACATACATGTGAAAGGTGGATTCGATCTCCATTGTCCTGCCATTCAGCTTCAGGATAGGGAATTCGATGATTTCCTGAATAGGGCAAAAAGAAAAGCAGCTGTTCATTTAAAAGAAACAAAAAATGAAGCTGGAAATGATCCCGCCTAGCAAGCTGGCTGTAAAAAGAGTGGCCCAGCAGTCCCAAACAAAAACAAGCCTGATGTGAAGCTTTGCACTACGAGGGGAAAGTGGTGCCAGAGCACAGAGCACATCCAACACCGTGAGCATGGAGGAGGATGATGCCAACACTCGTCATGGCTGGGACAGGCGGCAGGGATGTGTCCGTGCTCAGCGCTGCAACCACACACATAGCTGCCTGAGCCGAGCCTAAGGAAGACGGTCTGGCACCACTCACATGTGCTAGCACCACCCCAGGAACATGGAGACAGACTTGCAATGGGCTCACCTCTGTTTAGCAAGGACACCCAGGGGTTGTGCCCTCCCCAAGACCAGTCCCACCCTCTCCACCTTGCTGTCCTTTTGGAGGACACCACCAGACAGACAACAGGGGCTATGGCATGAAGCACCTCCTTCCCAGGAGGAGCAGAGGAGCACTGCTCTCCTCCAACAGCATGGAAAACAGCTGGAAACCCGTCCAAAATCCATCCCTATGGGATATGGCACAGTAGGAAGCCCTGCTTAATTTTCCTCTTTGTAGCCAATTTATGCTGATAGGGAAATAAAAACGTTCCTTCATCAGAAGAATGTTCAATTATTTGAATAATCAGCAATCAGAAATTTACATGGACCTGTTAATAAAAAGTTTAAACAAATCCAGTTGCGATGGATTTCTCAATTATTAAAAAATATACATGAAATTAAAAAAGCCAACCACTGAATAAAAGCGATAAAATCCTTTGTGTTCACCCCCCTCCTCCTCCACTCCCTCTCCTCCTTCCAGTTTAATGTAAGAGGAGAAGTGACAATTTGTTTGGTGTCTTTAAAGAATAATTTGTCTATGTTATTTAATAGAGATGCATGGCACCAAGGTTCTGGAGTGCAAATGAGCCCGCTGAGTGATATCCACGCAACAAGCCTCTCAAATCACTTCTGGAGAGAAACAGAGAGAGGGAGAGAGAATAAAAAAAATATTGCTTTTTAATATTCAAAAACAGTTTGCAAAATTTAATCAAAGCAGAGCAAAAGCTAACATTTTTACCACTTTGACATTTTTATTAGCGCTTTCATAAATTTTTAAAACATGAATGGAATTAGTTTAACAACAAAAAAAACTGCCTGAAAACATCTGGAAGAGACAAATAAGAAATAATAAAAAATAAAAAAAAAAATCCAACTCCTGTGAGTAAAATTAGCATGTGGAAAATGCAGCCGCTGCAGAGGAACTAACACAGTTTTTGGACCCTGGCTGCAACCCTCATGACCCACAGGCGGAAATTATCATGAGGTCATACATATGAGCTGATGACATCACCAGCCCAGCAGGCAGAGAGAGGGCGAGAAGCTGGGTGGGTAAATGGAAATAACAAATAATTTAAATAGCCAGGAGAAACACCCAATTTCCACGGTGGACAGAGCCCGTGGCCGCAGCAGAGCAGCTCCCTGGAGCAGCAGGCACACAGCCCAGACCAGGGCACGCGGGCAGCGTGTGCTGCTGGGGATGGAAAGTTAGAGGAAAAATTAAAATAAAGTGTTAACAGTACTGAAGGGCCCAGGTAGACACCAAGCAGTCAAGCTGCAAAGGACGCAGGGCTTAACCATCTCCCCCCAGTCAGCTGTGCCACACTCAGCGGGTGCCGTGCAGGCTCAGGCAGAGCAGAGGTTTGGGCGCATCCTTCCCCATGGCTGTACCACCCCACCAGGAGGCACCAAGTTTACCCAGGAAAGAGATGAAATTCCACCCATGGGCTGGAAGGGGAGGAGGACACAGAGGCAAAATGTTTGAGCATCATGCAGATTGCCTGTTGCGGTGTAGCCAAACTGACCAGCCTCAGCCACCCAGGACCACCCGTGGAAACACGAGAAACTCCATCTGAGTAAGAAACGCTGGACACAGCTGATCCTCACTTCAAAACAGCTACCACAGATAGGCTCTGAACGCAGCAAGTTTCTGTTCAGAAGGAAAACGGACTGCAAAGTTTGAAGCCAATGGACAGGACATCCTAACAGAGCCAGGCTTAACCCAGGATAACACCACCCCAATCCTTCAAACTGGGTCGTGGTGGCTCACTGCCCCTTAGGTCTGCACCCCGCTCGGGGAGTGATGGTGAAAGCGGGCAAGCCCACGGCGGGGCAAGATGAGCGTTCCCCCTCCTGGAGAGGGACATGGACCGGCTGGATTTCACAGCAGGGCTGCGTTGCCATGCCAAGATTGGTCCTCAGGGGCCAGAAACATCCTCAGGGGCCATCAAGTGGCTGGATGCAAAGTGAGGCTGAAAGCCCCCCCTGCCGCTGATCTGATACACAAAGGCGTCGCTCGCCTTCCAGAACCAAAGGCAAAAAGCACGTCCAGGAGGGTCGGATTAAGACAGACGGAGGAAATAAAAAGCCATACTAAAAAAATGTGGAAAAATTAACCATATCCAGAATTACTGCAGGTCTGACAGCCAGGAGCAGGGGTAGAACCCCAGGAGTGACTCGAGCATCTCAGGAGAAAGCGCAGCCGCTCTTTTGGGCTTATTTGGTCAGTTTTTGAAGCAAGTGGTAACGAACCTTTCCCAAAAGGCTGTTTATCTGCACGCTTCCTATAGCAGAGATTTTTTCCAGTCTCTGGCAGTGTTTGCTCCACTGGTATCTAAGGCAACAGATACCAGCCCCATGAAATCAGCCCCACTCCTCACTAACGACGTTAGCCAGTCCTGCAATGAAATTTAACCTGTGACACTGCTGTACTTTTCATTTAAACTTTCATTTGGAGAGAAGCAGTGTTTGGAGACCCTGCAGTTTGTCCTGCTAATAAAGACAAGTGTTGGGACCTTTAAAGGTGCCATTCATCTTTTGCCTTTATTAAATTCAATTTTCTTAAGCCCATGATACATCATGAAATTAAGAGTTGACATTCCTGCAGAAACAAAAATATCTATCAAACATAAACAGAAAGGGGGGGAAAAAAAAAAAAAGGCCTCTATTACCAAGAATTTATGGCTTAAAGTTGATCTGTTTCCACTTTTTTCCTCTCCCCCTTTTTTTTTTTTTTACAAGCATATGGTTTGTTTTAGATATCCAAAATGTTATTACAGATCTAGAATTTCATTAGTAATTATTATGAAATGGCAAGCACTTAGACACACACACACAATCCCCCCAGCAGACTGCGATGCAGGAAGGCAGCCGGGCACTCGCTCACGTTTCACAGCAGCCCGGCGAGCTCAACACGCTCAAGCTCCATCTCCATCGCCAAGGACCTTCACCGCTTCTTCCCAGGTGGGAAAGGTGGAGGTGAGAGGCACAAGGGAATTAAAAGGAAGAGGCTCACTGACACTTCCTTTCTTTTTTCAGAGTCTGATCATCCATAAGTACTACCTTAAGATCCTCACCCATTCCCAACACTGAGTACACGGTCCAACTTCAGCGGTGATTTGTGCCAGCAGCGTTTGGGGCTTCTAAGCCTTCTTTCTTTTCCTCTCCCCCCACCCCCCGCCCAGTTTTTCCTTACAGCGCAACCAGAAGTTATGGATGTGCTGAAATAATGCTGAGGGTGTCCAGAGGCTGCAAATAGCCGCCAGCTACCAGAAGAACAAACGTACCCATTTGAATTTTGTGAGCGCTGCAATTAGGTATTTTATTTAGCACTGCAAAGCAACTTGAAAGGAAATCCAGGATTCAAACCACCACCAATAAATAAGCGGCTTTTTATTTTCCTTTCATTGTCATGAAAAGTTGAACATGTTTTCTGTTGAGAAATTCTGCACGCGGCTCCCAATTACAAGACATTTGCATTTATATTGTTGGAACACAGAGCTTCTAAAATCAATATTAACACGCTTAAAGAAAAAGACATCGGCACCCTGTCCCTCCCCTCAGCTGCGCCCCCAAACATGGTAACAATAGGAACCTACAGAGCCGGAGGCTTATACATATCCATTACCAGGTCCACTCTCTTTACAACAAACTTGCATTTATGATTTCATGGTACTTCAAGCCAATCTGTGTGACAGCTTGCTCAGAATTTTTGCCTTAAAAAAAAATGGCCCGCCCCAAAAGACGTCCCATGCAACCCTGCTGTCCCAGGCCAGTGGGCTGAGCAGCAGGAGGCTGCAGGGTAACTGCGGAACGGCTAGGGACTTCCTTTTAAGAGGGATTTGAAAAACTCATAAGGGCACGTGAAAGCACTGCTATAAAGCCAGTAAACAAAACCTCCCTCCCTTTAACACCAGCACAGGGACGCATGCATTTGGCCGTCTTGATCTTCTTGCTAATAAAAGAAACGAACGAGCACGCAAACTGTACTCACTAAATAATTTCCCGTAGCAGACAGATCTCCAGTTCAGAGAAGAAAGCACCTGAAGTTACACTAATTCCCACAGAGAAATCTTTTTGCTTATCATTTTGGATCTGGGGAGCACTAACATCGTTAGATGAAAAGAATACAGTGCACAGCAAGAACTTCCCGGCTCTGAAAACCTTTTAATCCAGCAGCCCACGTGCGAAGTGGACAGGGCACACTTCAGGACACTGATTTATATATTTGAGGAAGACCGTGTGGCCTGTTCAGTTCAAAAGCTGCCAGAGAATAATTTATCCCTTATGCCCACCCCCATGTGAAGAAGTTTAATAAACACAAGAATAAAAGATGCCCATAAAAATCAGAGCTGACTGTTCAAAATGCAATAAAACAAGCAGAGGCCGTTGAGAGAATGGGATTTTTTTCCTGATAAGAAAAAGCATAAAACTTCCCACCAAAAGACCCCTTTACACCTTCAAAGAAGGTAAGGGCAGAAGAGGCAAGGGAGTCTCTGTGGAGAGGGGACAGGCTCAGCACCAGCTCATTTTGTTGAGGGATGTTTCTCCCCCGCCTTCAAAGAAAAAAAAAGTCATTTTATGCACAAGGAGCTTATTTCTTAAACAAACACTCG